TAACTACTACACCCTTTGTGGTAGCCACTGATATATGTGAACTTATAAACAATGTAACACCATCTAAGACAGTGTTTCTCAACCTTCGGAATTTGAAGATGTGTGGGCTTCAACTCCCATAATTCCCCAACCAACAATTTCTGGTTGGTGATTTCTGGGAGTTGAAGTCCACACAAGTTGCCAAGGTTGAGAAACACTGGTCTAAGGCATTTGGCTACTTGAAGGAGAGAGATCGTGTTCTTCCCTTGATTCCTTCCTCGAGCCAACACTTCAAAAAGTTTTACTACAATTATTTCTATCCTGCCATTTTTCCATCCTCAAGAAGAAGAGAATCCACGCTGCCTCCAGCAGACAACTACTCACTTGAAGGCTTCTGGTTGAATAACAACTAGGGCACCAAATTGTTCTTAAAAATAGCAATTTTGGTGAAGCAACTTGTCAGATTAGAATAAGGGAAAAATCAACCCTTCTTCCCCCATGTCATTAGTTTTATTCTAGAACACGGCCAGATTATTATTATTTTTTTAAGGAAAAAAATGCCCAAATGCAATCACAAGTTTCAATGGTGCCTACTTTTAACCTTGGAAACAACTTACTTGTAGGGAAGGTTTTGAAATAGTTTCAGCTGCACACCCAAACCTCTCAGGCTGCAAGTATCAAACCTAAGCTTGTTCAAATTCCAAGCAGTCTGCATGCTGGAGAAGCCATCAGTGGGGTCAGGGGTCAGTATGTATTATGAAATTTCCATAGGAGAAATGTTGAACAAATATTCTGTGTTTTAAAAAAGAGAAGAATTTCCTTCTATTAGTCTCTGATTTATTTGCATTTAATATCAAGAAATGATTCAGAGTTCTAATGTGAGAGTTGAGGGGGGGGCATTTCTATCCAAATATTCTGATCATGATATACCTTCATCATCTCTCCCCTTAGATTTCTTTGATCCATGCTTAAAGGCTCTAGTTGCTGAACTATTTCATCTTAAGGGAGATACTATATCTTTCTAACTATATTGTTTGCTCTGTGTTTGCATTGGTTGCATTTTTTCAGCTTTCTAATAACCTTTTAATGACCAGAACTCACAGCTCTTAGGATAAGAAGGTATCTCTAACAATTGGTTAAAGAATACACATGAGAATACATGGGCAGTTAGGTCAGATATATGTAAAAAATTGGCTCCCTTAGAGAATAGTGCAAGCTGGTTGTTCCATCTGTTAGATGCTTCAATTCTTAAGCTCCTTATCCAAGGCTCTGTGCCTCCAAAAGACTTCAGCCATTGTATTTTTTTTTCCTGCTCATCATTCCACTATCTTTTCTAGATGTTCTATCCAGAGATTACTGTATCCCACTGGTTATTTCCATTCTGTATTGCAGTTTCTGTAATGTTTGCCTGTATCAATGTTTTCTTCCAATGCAGAAAGTGAGAAAGTATAATTTTGCAGCTTGTTTTGCAAAAAAGAATTGGGAATCAAATAATTTTATAAGATAAGGAGAAGAGAATATAGAAAACACTTTTTAAATAATGGCTTATACTTTCCTAAATACATAAATATTAACATGAGCCATGATTTTAAACAAAACATAAAAATAAGATAATAGCTATAGGATCTGCCCAATCTTTTATAATACAGTAACTCGAAACACAGCCAATTTTGGGTATTGGACTCTACACATATGACTCTTTTTGCTGAATTCTGTTCGTGCACACAGCTTTGTCACCACTTTGACAATGTCAGTTACCTGACTACAGTGCTTTCCCAAAAACAAGACAGGGTCTTATTTTCTTTTGACCCCCAAAATAAGTGTTTGGCCTTATTATTTTTGAGGTGCAGGGGATGGCGAGCATAGTCATCTCGTGGCTGCTGCCACGTTGCAATATTTTTGTGCTCAAAAATCCAATTGGGCTTATTATCCAGGGAAGTCTTATATTCAGGGAAACAGGGTAGTCAGATAA